ACGTGATTTTTTTGGGTCCTTTAATATTTTACTTGTTTTCTTTTTTATTTTATTTTGTCATAGCAGCAATATAAATTCTATGAAAAAACACATTCTATGAAAATTCCAAGTATCTACATATTACGGTTCATAAGATACAGCCTACTGACAGACAGACGGAACGATAGTGGAGACTTGGGTCCCGTTGATACTCTTTGGATACGGAACCCTAATAAATGGCAATTATGTCATTTGAGCAATATTACAGAAATAAACATTAAATAATATAGAATGAGGTTATATTATAATAAGTTTAATATATTATATTATAAAATATAGTAACAATAAATTCACATATAAAAATCTCAGCCACGGGGAACTTTATTTTTGCATTCGCGGCTACACTGAATAGCATCATTGATATTTTGTGACTTATTTATGGCTCGTGTTATTTTATGTCAAAATTTCGAAATTGTATGATACTTAATGATAGTATGTGATTCCAGTGTCTTTCTTATTTCTTTCTATATTTTACTTCGGATTATGATCAAAATTTAATAAAACATTCGGTACGTTCACCTCACACGTTGCCTGCAACGCGACTGGCTCGGGTACGCCGATTTTGGCGTAGTATTTGCTGCGGATTTTACATGAGCACCGGTGGTATCTAGTCAGAGCGCGCGATGACTTATCATTAATCTATGAGCATCTTATTACACATGTAAAAATACAATAATAATAATAATAAGATACAAAAAATAAACAAAAATAAATGTAGTAGCCTAAAAATCGGCCATTTTCAATAAAAAAAATAAAAAGTCGAATATCTCGAAAAAGGTTAAGTTTAGGGTAGGGTGTTTCATAGTGAAATAAGTCAGAAATGATGGGTACTCCACGCCCTTAACGGATCTAGCACGATTTTTCTTGTAACCCTGTATATTAAAAACAATTCCTGAAATTTGGGATCACATGTGACCCCGTGCAAGCAGTTATGTAATGTTCTTCGTGCGAGTAATTAAGGGATAATGTTTATTTTGATATTATTTATTTCCTCAGCGCTGATTTGACACTATTTAACACTAATTTTCGATAAAGAGCAATGGCAGAAAAATAGTTGACAAAAATTATAGCATCTAGAAATAAGTAATATATAAAATAAGTTTTATTATTTTCTATGATTTTTCAAATAAAAATCTATTTTAATTAAAGCTACAGAAAAAAACAAACATTTTTGGGAATATCAAATGACATATCATTTTACTCTATTCAAATTTTGCCATTTAGTATATTCATACTATTTTCGTATACACTTTGTAACACTACCAACACAACACACAAAATATTTTTATATTAAGCTTTTATTAGTAATAACTAAAAAAATACTATCAGTAATAACAAAAATAAAACTGATATGGCTGAGAATAAGTCTCTTACAAAGAATTTCCTACAATAATACATTATCTCAATCATAGTACTATGTAACAATTCCATTTAATGTTATGCCAACACTAGCTAAAATAAAATGTCAGTTTTTTTTACTGGCTTTACGGCTCTGGGTTCTAGCACTTCTGAGAATGTCACTATGGTACAAAAGCCCTGGAGCCATGCCAGAAACATACATTTATAGTATGCAAATACATAATAGAGATACAATAATCTAAAAACTCTCAATTATGTATTATATATTAAGCTAACATCAAAAAATGACTGAAATCATGACTTTTTCCAAGTGACATAGGGCATAACCTAAAAAGGTTCAAATGTAAATATCTTTTTTTTGACGTCTTCTCAGTACAAAATTCTTTGACAGAGTTATTAAGAGACTGATGCTTAACATTTTAAGATATTTTTGGTATATAGACGCTACCATTTCTTCTCAACTAATTTTATGTATGAAAGTCTGCCATTGCTTTTTCGACAGAGGCAAGTGACGTGCGTGTTGACTAATTAGCTGCCGGAAACAGAAATTTAAAGTTATATTTACCATCGTTTAAATTTTTTTTTAGAACTGGCCACTTGTAAACGATATAATAAAAAAATAAGTTCAGATTTTGAAAATGGAACTCTGCCAATATTATTGTGTATTTTATTAATTTGTCATTTGTTTACGATTTGGCGGCAAATTGAATATTATCTGTCACGTCAGCATAAATTTAACGCGAGAATATTTTCGTACAATGATTTTTTATGACTTTCGATGTCATTTAAGTCAACAAGAAAGTTATGATAGACTTCGATTGTTCTTTCACGATCAAGCCCCATCTTGTGCCACTGTTTACAACTGGTTTAAACGTGGTCGCGCTAATCTCACCGATGAAAGACGGCCTTCTACGACGACGTCTGAAGATTACATCAGTGTTGTGCGGCGTATAATAGAGACTGACAAAAGAGTGGCTTATCAGCAGATTCGGACAAGCTTAGGCATCGGTATGAGTTAAGTGCACAAAATCCTCTATGAACAATTAGCGGTCAGGAAGTTTTGTGCCCGGTGGATACCTCATAATTTGACAAAGGCCCAACAACTCTGTCGTGTTGATTGGTGTCGTGAAATGGTTCAAATATTTAACGGAGGTGACTCAAATGTTTTGTTCCACATACTTACGGGTGACAAAAGCTGGATTTATTGTTATATTCCTGAAACTATGAGACAGTCTGCTGTCTAGGTGTTTCCTTCCGAGAAGTAGCCAACTTAAGTGAAGAGAGGTCTAAGAACGGGAAAAAAGGTGGTGGCCTCGTTCTTTGGAAGGGCAGGTCATCACGCTCAATCCCTACCAGTTTTTAAGAAACATGTACATGATTACTTTTTTCAACTTTCATTCTATCTAGCTCATTTGTATATACGTAATTATTCTACCTTTATTTAGTTGAAATATATGTTATATGTAATAGTTTTAAAGTATATATTTGTACTTTTATATATTTATGTTTATAAAATACATATTTATATGTATATTTATACATATATATTAAAAACCATGTATGTATTTATCTTATCTATGTACTTATATACCATTCTATATTTCTATTTTATGGCTTTAATAAAAATAATATTATTATTGTCGCCAAACCACACACGTTTTTATTGTTTTCTTGCAGTCCTGTCCATCCAAAGGTTGTCTGGAAGAGATCGCTTTTAGCGATAAGACCGCCCATTTTACCACATTTCTTTTTCTCGCTTTTTGTTAATATTTATATTATTTTTTGGCGTAAAATAAAATGTTATCTATCTATCTATCTATCTGTCATTACGCAACAATTGTTTTAGAGTATCAAAAAACAGTTACTGCAGAGTGGTACACTAACAATAGTTTGCCACTTGTCTTGGAAAAAGTTCGGGAGAAACGACCTCGCGGTAGAATCCTCCTTCACCACGACAACGCCTCGTCGCACACCGCCAAGCAAACAATCGACTACTTGGCGACGTCAGGCGTGGAATTACTGGGTCACCCGCCCTATAGCCTCGCACCTTATGATTTTTATTTATTTCCGAAAATAAAAGAAAAACTTCCAGGAAAGCGTTGTATTGATGCCGAGGATGCAGTTGCTGCGTTTCAAAATGCCATCGAAGACGAGACGAGTGGGCAAAGTGCTTTTCTCAGTGGTTTCATCGGGTTCAGCGATGTATTGATGTAAATGGACACTATTTTGAAAAGATATAATAAAACTAATAACTTGCTAGTTTGTTCAGTTTTTGATTTTCTAAGAACTTTCAGTGTCACCCTCGTATAATTCCCAATATTCTTTACGAATAGTTTTGTTTTTAAATCTTTCAAGAGTTAGTCTACCTTTTAAGACTTGCAAATGATGGGCTTACCGCATAGCGTAGTTGTTTTAGTTTGGTTTCAAATTGATCAAAATATTTGAATAGAAAAGTATTACACCGCATTTTTTTCTGTAAATTATACTTAATAGTTTACCATGCAAACTAGAAGACAAAGTTATCAGTGTCATATATTCGGGAGTGTTGAAGATACTAAATACAATGTGGTGCCAACCTACAAAGATGTCATGAAATGTTACGAATGGATCCAACTTAAAATTAGCAGGAATATGTACTATCAAAGAACCATCATTTTTAGAAATTGCAGAGCTGGTGGCGCGAAAAGTAGATGTGTGGAGAAAATCGTCCCTTTCTACGAATTCACACACCCGAGTCATTCAGTTATTAAAGGCTTATCATTTAAAGTGCAAAAACCTTATAATTATCTACTGATATCCAGGATTAGAGCCATGCAATAAATCATCAATTAAAAGTTTAGACAAGATACAGTATAAATGTCTCCGCATTATAATTGGTGCAATGAAATCTTCCCCGATTAATGCCCTTCAGGTAGAGTGTGTTGATCCTCCTCTCAACATAAGACAATATCTTTCAGACAGATTCTTCTTTAAGATCTGTCAACTCTCTTCTTATCCCCTAATTCTCAGGCTACACTTCCTTTCAGAATTCTTATCTTCAAGTAGGTACTGGCTCCATAAAGACTGTCCACATTTAATTAATAGCTTAGTATCATTTCTCCAAATTCCTGAGATATAAGATTATCTACTGATCAAAAAATATTTTTCTGCAGAATAGCAGTTTTATTTGACATTTTTTCATGTAAATGTAAAAAAATTGAACTTTGCTTTTGTCCAATATAAAATAAGGTACCAAAAGGGGAGCAGAAGTTTTCGTTGGACCAAAGACAGTATAGAAACATGCAAATTGATGGGATAGACCGTAACAGTGAAAGATATACATATGTCACATGCCCGATGGTTAACAAAAGCAAATAGAATATTTTCACATTAGACCCATCTAATAAATTAAAACTATTAGCGGAATATTGAGTTAAAGTTTAGGCACCAGTATGGTACCAAATAAAAACAAATCCGACTAGCAGAGATTGGTCTAAAACATTTTGGAAATTAATTAAATGTTCTCGATACCCACCTTCAGTGTTGATTAATAGTAGATCCTGTAATTCAACGTAATGTCCATTTCGCTCATCCTGAAAATTTGCTTTTATCGATGTTATCTGATGAAAACAGAACAATTAAGGAATTCGCTGCCAGAAGAACACAGTAAGTACGACGACACCTCATTCAGGAAAGCAACCTCGTGTGTTTGAGATACCACATGTTAATTTCGAAGCCAATAGCTTGATCTCACATTGGCAACAAAACCTTTTCGATCCACCAACCCTTCGATATGTCACAGATGAATAAACAAACAAGATCATTGAGTCCCAGGGCGACGAAAACTTACTTTTTTTTAAAGTTACTATGTCATATAAGCAGGCAGTTGAACGGTCTGTTAAACAGTAACAGAAGCATCTTAAATATTATAAACCTTCTCTTGATTCTTTATCTCTTGTAAATACATGATGATCTTAATACATGTTGTTGCAAACCTGCAACACTGTTCCATCAACTATAGAAATAAGAACATTTTCTCAGTGCATGTATCGCACCTTTATCATAAACTGAATAATATTTTCTTTTTGGTGGCAACACTATTATTTGATGTTATTGACTGTCAACTTGACATTTAACAATGAGATGATTGTTTTGAAGAATCGCGCAATTTCGAACTTCGCAGTGTTTTAATTTGCAGTGGATAACGTGGATTTTCGCAGTACGTGAAAAAAATATTTCCCTAGAAAATAATATTTGTATTTCCGAATCGACTTAAGTTTTGAGAAACTATGTCTATTTTGTTAGTAATTTTGACTTCTTTTGCTCTTGCAAATCTACAAGAGTATGCATTTACTTTGTTTACGACTTTTTTGATGTTTTTTCAGACGAACCCCTTGTCTGACAAGGAAATCGAAAGCTATTTGGACCAAATTAACGATGGAGCGAGGTCTGAAGATGACCTTGAGGCATCAGATTAAGAAGATGAAAATTTCTACTTGAATAGAGAAGATCTACTCTGTGAACTTCAGAGCTCTGTAGATTGATAGAAGATCCGAGTAGTAAGTACCTCCGGTTCCCTTCCCGCAACAACTCAAGATAGTCGACGGGCAACAATAAAGGGACTTGTATGGAAAGTTAAAAAAAGTTGTATTGAATCCTGAACAAATAACTTTTCGTGGCAATACAACACACCCGCAGGACTGAAGGATCAAGTAGCTGGCGGCACTCCATATATGTTTATTCTTATATTTTTCACATCTGAAATGCTCCAGAAGATTGTCGAAGAGTCTAATCTCTATGTACTTCAAACAAATATTCAAAAACCATTGAATCAATGTGTATTAGAACTAAGAAAGTTTATATCAGTATTGATATAAGCGCTCTTTCAATATATCCGCGTCATCCGATAGCACCACTGAGACCACCAACCCGCAGAACTGTCCTTGACACCAACTCTTCATTACCCAGACTGTGTAAGCTGCTAAAAAGCTACAAACACATAGTTGACGTAAACTTTGATTACGCACAAGATGAGGCCCGTAGTCAACTACTCAAATGAAAAATTTGCATCAGTTCCTATACAACAACACTTGGCAATTGATGAGGAAAAGTAGTACACTTTATGTAGCAACACTTGCTCGACAAGCCTCATAAGTGGGGTGGTTCAAGCTTTTTGTTGTGTGTAGTATAGCAGGCTATGCTCATAAATCATCAGCAAATCAATCGATTTTGAATTTGTGCCAAAACAGGCTCGAACTGGCGATGGTATTGAGCAAAGTTTGTAATGCATCTGAACTCTGTAATAAGAGAGGAAGACCCAGCACTGGTAGCAGTGTTGAGGCCCAACTCAGTGCGTTCCAGCTAATGAAAAAAAAATTATGAGCATGTATTATACATATAAACCTTCCTCTTGAATAATTCTGTCTATTGTGAAAACCGCATCGCAGACACACAGAAAGCGACTTTGTTTTATACTACGTAAAAATTAGAAACAATGCCTACAAATTTTACAGGTAAAGAAATGACATATTAGAATAAATAGCTACAATATAAACAGTATTCCTTTCTATTTATGAGCTAAGTATGGCTAACAGCTATGTAAAGGCGGCCCATTATAGTAATGAGTGCAGTGATAGTAGTGACCTTGCTTAAATTTGGTAATGTAGCTTATACATTTTACACTTTTTTCAGGGAAGCAGCATCTGCAATACTTATCACATTTTGTATGCTGTAAGTGACATAGAAAAGTTAACAATGTACGTGTAGTCTTTAAATAAAAATACTTTCAAATAAAACCTTTTCGAAGAGAATTGTTCAATTTTCACTTATTTGTAGATATTATAGTAGTTATGCTCTTCCTTTATCAAGAAATCAGTCTGCGCAGGTATCAACCTATTATCCATTTCTGCCACTGCGCATTAGTGCATGTTGTGTTCATAGGATAAAAATGTAGTGCAAATAACACTTCAAATAACTTAGAGTATATATAGAATAGAATAGAAATAGGTATGTGGCGGCGCTGTCGCCGCTCTACAAGCGAAACATATCGAAGCCTAAATCGCGCTAACAAAGTTCCGAAGTTAAAGCAGTAGCGTTGGCGGCTCCCCGGGCAGAACACCTTACCCAGTGGGAGCTCTCCCCTTTTCCTTCTACCCACCACAGGTATATATATTGGGATGTAAGAGTGCAAACATCTGCTCACAGTTCACCCCGCTGATAGACCGTCGCAACAATACCCGGTGATTAGGAGCACCGTAACTAATATATAATACCATATCTAGATGGTAGGGCTCCTTTTCTGACAACGCGCCCATCTGAGTAATTACCTCTTACATATTGCTGCACACAAATATCAATACGTGCACTATTATGCTACGGTCTGAAGGATAAAGGAAGCGTTATTAAAACAAGCTGTAAGGTATTTTATGTTATTTCTCAGAGGTGACAACATACTTGTGGCCTTACATGTTGAAGTTTGTTACAGGTGTCCATGGGCAATAGAAGTCACTTATTATCAGGTGGGTTTTAAGTTTACTTGTCACTTCATTTTTATAGGAAAAGTAACTAGGTACTAGCACAGGTACCCCTACGTGGTAGAGCCACGCTGCACCTGTATTACGGTTGTAGTACCAATGGGTCGGCTCGACCGTGGAAGGACCAAACTCTCACAGAATACCAGTGTAAAATAGCAGCATAATGCTGCTGTTTTTCGTATGGTGAATGAAAAGAACTCTCTTTACTGGAAACGAGGCATTCCATCTTAGTCCTCAGGGGTGGCAATGCATATGCATTTTGATTCTTAATCGAGAATAAATGTAGATATCTATGGCCCACAGCATCCACTTATCATCAGGTGGGTTGTGTGCTTCTTTATCACCGTTATCCTATAAAAAATACTAGGTATTCGTAGTGAGTATGGGCATTACTGTCCACAAATAGCAGTGTTTGCATAATTATATAATTTGACAAAATTCGTTTGAACGGAATTGAATACCTCATAAGAAGAGCTGCACCGACTAATCGGAAAAACCGACTACCCGGCTTAATTTGTAGTCGGTAACTATCCAGCAACTAGTCGGCATAAAGCGCTGATTAGTCGGCCTATTAATACTATTATTCATATTTCAAATGAAATGAAATCTAAACATTCATTACTAATAATTTTTATTTTAGAATCAATCTTATAGTTGGTAATAGAAAGAAATTTTTCTAATATAAAATTAGGTACCTTTCCTTACATGAATCACACTAGATGTGAAGCTTCAATGGGGCTCCCATATATCAAAACAAGCAGACTTAGTCCTGCAGCATATGCTGTAAAAAAAGATTAGAAATCTTACCAGTGTTGAAAAAGCTTGACTAATTTACTTTAACAGAAACAGAAACTTTCTTATTCAATCTTTATATATAAAAATTACGTGTCACATTGTTTGTCCGCGATGAGAACTCCTAAACTACTGAACTGATTTCAATGAAATTTTGCACACTCTGTGCAGTTCGGTCCAACTTGAGACATAGGATAGTTTATATCCTGATAAGTGACACTCAATATTTTTTATTACGAATTTAAGCATTTTTTATATGAAGAGTCGTCAAAAAGGGCAGAACAACGTCTGCCTGGCCAGCTAGTATAGATTATAAATAATACTTATTGCAAGTCACTCTTTTATTTGATTACCACTGGTTCTAAAAAAACCTTTGTCCTGGGAAGAACCAGCAATAAAGCCAGCGGGACTTTTTCTTAATAACAGGTTACAATCATGTATGTTACACAATTAACCACACAAAACAAATTAGAAATAGCTTGGTAGCGATCACCCCATTCCCAGGTTATTATCGTCCATAAATTCTTTAATATTATAATAAGCTTTTTATACAAACTTTGTTTAATAAAGTTTTTGAACTTTGAGCAGAGACAAGAAATCAATGTATCAGTTGCTACAAAAAGAAAACTTCAGCAGGCTACAATGGGAAGAAGTCGGCATGTTCTACACGAAAAGTAAAAACGGCATGTAGTAGATGTCAAAAAGGATATTAGCCTTGAATGGTTCAACTCCTCTCATTATCTCATCAATACACACTCACACATGAACACACACACAATGATTAATGATGATAATAATTTATATAATTTGGAAACTATGATTTTTGTTTTTCATATGTGATCTCATGAATTAGTGACAGTGTGTTAGTGACAGTGACGAGGGCGACACTGAAAGTTTTTAGAACTGGTCACTTGTAAATGATATATTAAAAAACTAAGTTCAAATTTTCAGAATGGTACTCTTTGCCAATATTATTGTATATGTATTTTATTGATTTGTCATTTGTTAACGATTTGGCGGCAAATTGAAAATTGTCTGTGTCACGTCAGCACGAATTTAACGCGAGAAAATTTTCGTAAAATGATTTTTTATAACTTTCAATGTCATTTAAGTCAACAAGAAAGTTAACATAGACTTCAATTGGCCTTTCATATCATCTCGTGCCACTGTTTACAACTGGTTTAATGAGTTTAAACATGATCGGTCTTCTATCGCGACGACTGAAGATAACATCAGTGTTGTGCGGGGCCTATGATAGAGACTAACAAAAGAATGACTTATCAGCAGATTTGGACAAGCTTAGGCATCAGTGTGAGTCAAGTGCACAAAATCTTCCATGAACATTTAGCGGTCAGGAAGCTTTGTGCCCGATGGATACCTCATAATTTGTCAGAGGCGCAAAAACAGCCTCATAGCAGACTGTCTCTTAGTTTCAGGATCATAACAATAAATCCAGCTTTCGTAACCCGTAAATATGTCGAACACAGCATTTGAGTTACCTCCATTAAATCTTTGAACCATTTCACGACCCCAATCAACACAACAGAGTTTTTGGGCCTCTGAGAAATTATGAGGTATACTGGGTCAGGTCATTACGCAACAATTGTTTTAGAGGATCGAAAAACATTTACTTCAGAATGGTACACTAACAATTGTTTGCCACTTGTCTTGGAAAAGTTTGGAAGAAACGACCTCGCAGTAGGATCCTCCTTCACCACGACAACGCCTCGTTGCACACCGCCAAGCAAACAATCGACTACTTGGCGACGTCAGACGTGGAATTACTGGGTCACCCGCCATATAGCCCCGACCTCGCACCTTGCAATTTTTATTTATTTCCGAAATTAAAAGAAAAACTTCAAGGAAAGTTTTATGGGCGCCGAGGAAGCAGTTGCTGTGTTTCAAAATGCCGTCGAAGAGACACCTAAGGACGAGTGAGCAAAGTGCTTTTCTCATTGGTTCTATCGGATGCAGCGATGTATTGATGTAAATGGACACTATTTTGAAATGATATAACATAATTTAACCCGGCGAGAATGTGGAGGGGTCAGTTTGACCCTAACAAATTTAAATCGGCTAGATTTTATATTTCGCGCGGGCGCACGTTTTCGAATGTCTCAGTAGCTGTCACGAATAGACCACAGCGCACCCCGCACGCCTCTATTTAGACGGCCGTCGCCTGCGATGGGAGTTGGACGTGCGCAAAGCGAATAAGGGTGAATATGACCCCGCGACAATCGCGACGTAACATTTTTTTTACGATTTTTTATTTTTGTTTTATTTGAATATTGTTGTCTTTGTAGGTATTTTTGATTAAAATGAGTCGGCAAGAAAATCGAGATGAGTGGATACGTCAAAAATTGATGGAATCAGACAGCGAAAATGAGTTCCTGTTAGAAAGCAGTGAAAATGAAGATCATTTGAGTGTACGCAGTTGCGGTAGTGATACTGAGCAGAACATAAGCAGTGAATATGACAGCGAAGATGACGTTCCGATATCGAGCTTGCGAAGCCAGAATCAAATTCTGCTTGAAGAAGAGGAATTAGATGCCCAGGTGAGGGATTCGTTTTATACAGGTAAAGATGGCTCCAAGTGGTTCAAAAATCCGCCTTCACGGCAAGTTCGGACGCGCTCAGAAAATATTATCAGACAAACACCTGGTGTGAGCGCAGAAGCAAGATTAGCACAGTCAGAACTTGAATGTTGGAGCTTGTTTTGTCCCGAAAATATGATTTCCATTATCCTGACTCACACAAATCTACAAATTCGAGAGAGAAATGCTAGTCGTGAAAACCTTCCTCACTTCATGATAGAATTAGAAATGAGTGAATTGAAGGCTTTCATCGGTTTATTGTATATTGCCGGATTTTATCGCTCTGGAAGGCAAAATACTGCAGATCTGTGGGCTTCCGATGGTACAGGAGTCGAAATATTTCGGTTGACAATGTCACGTCAACGATTTCATTTTATTCAGAGCTGTCTCCGTTTTGATGATAAATCTACGCGTGAAGAGAGAAAACTATTGGACAACTTAGCTCCTATACGTGAAATATTCGAGCTGTTCGTTGAGAACTGTAAGAAATCATACGTCTTGGGCGAATATGTCACCATTGACGAAATGTTGCTGGCATTTAGAGGAAGGTGCAAATTTAGACAATACATACCAACCAAGCCTGCAAAATATGGCATAAAGGTCTTAGCAATGGTTGACGCGCAAAATTTTTACATTTTCAACCTCGAAATTTATGCAGGAAAGCAGCCAGAAGGACCATTTTCCGTAAACAATAAACCTTTTGACGTAGTGAATCGTCTAGTGCTTCCCATTTCAAAAACTGGGCGGAATGTTACTTTTGACAACTGGTTTACCAGTTATGAACTTGTGTCACATCTACTCAACGAGCACAAGCTGACTTCTGTGGGCACAGTGCGGAAAAACAAGAGAGTACTCCCGAACAAGTTCTTGAAAACGAGCGATCGTGATGCAGATGTTTATTCATCGAAGTTCGGCTTTCAAAAAGATATAACTCTGGTATCCTACATACCAAAGAAGAAAAAAGTTGTTCTGCTCATTTCAAGTCTCCATCACGACGCTGATATTGACGAAACTACTGGAGAGAGAAAAAAACCAGAAATAAACACATTCTATAACTCCACTAAAGGAGGAGTAGATGTTGTAGATGAGTTGTCCGCAACTTATGATGTAAGCCGCAACTCCAAAAAATGGCCTCTGACTGTGTTCTATGCAATTTTGAATATGGCAGGGATCAATGCAAATATTGTATTCAAATGTAATACAAATTCAACTCAAAAACGCCGTAATTTTATCAAAACTTTGGGCCGTATGATGGTAGCCGAACATATGAGTGCTCGTAAAGAAATACCTCAGTTGTCCAGCCAGCTACGTAAAAGAATGAGAGAATTTGGAGGAGAATCTGCTCAGGAGACGCCTGTAAGGGTCCCAGGTGTACGAAAAAGGTGCCAAGTGTGTCCTTATGCCAGACATCGAAAGACGAGCAATGTCTGTGAAGATTGTCATAAGTACATTTGTCCAGAACACACAGTTTCTTTTTGCCAAGAATGTGCTGCAATAACTGACAATAATATTGAGTAACTATAAGTTTTTTTATTTTATTTTATGTGAAACTGATTGATCTTATTGTTGATTACCAAATTATCTTAGTTAGTTTGTTTTTTTACTTATATTCTATGTTACGTTGTTTTATGTACGTAAGTGTTGAAAAAACTTGTTTGATTTTTAAGTATTATAAAAGTGTGAATAATAACTAAGTTTTGTACCAATATTGATGTTTATTTTTATTTACATGGTAAAAGAAATGCCTATTTCCTTTCATTATTATGTAAAAGTCACAAAAAAATCAAACAATTTCGAAAACAATGCAATTAAAATACAGGGTCATAGATACCCTCCGCAACCTCCATGTAATTATTTTCACCACATTCTCGCCGGGTTAAAATTAAAAAGTTTGTACAGCCGACTTCAATATAAGTTATTAAGAATAACTCGAAAACTATTTGTCTGACCTTGATCAAATTCATATGGGACCACACGAGAAGTATCAGCTTTCATATAAAAAAAGAATCATCGAAATCAGTCCACCCAGTAAAAAGTTATGAGGTAACACACATAAAAAAAAACATACGAGTTGAATTGAGTACCGTCTCCTTTTTGGAAGTCGGCACAAAACTAATAACTTGCTAGTTTGTTAAGTTTTTGATTTTCTAAGAACTTTCAGTGTCATATGCGTACTTGCTTGTGTCTGTTCCTAGTATTTACAGAATGAATATCACTTATTTTTGTATAACTACTTTTGTTTTTGTGTGTGACTTAGCAATGTGGCACAGTGGCTTAGCAATGAGTCACAACACTAAGGGCCGCGGGTTCGAATCAAGTATTTGTATGGCCTACAAATAATTGTTCCGGGTCTGGATGTTTGTCCTTGTGAAATTTATGTAAGTAAACTGCCTCCACGATACAGGAAAAAATCCTAGAGTGGAGGTAACGATTTAAAAAAAAATTAAAAAACCTACATTACATTTAAAATATATGGAGAGGCCAAAGTTCATATATTAATTTCCTTAAATTCTTTTCCGAGCGGCTCTATGTTTTAAATCATAGATTGCTCTTATGGTCCTCTTCTGTAAAACAAATATAATTTCAGTGTCACTCGTGTCCCATAGCAAAATACCACACAACACAATGAAATCACCAACTCTGCCTTGTTTTAACCGATCATGCACATCTCTTCTCATAAGTTACTCACCTAGATATCTTGCAAGATTCTATTAGGTTAATAATGTTCCCTTCCATGTCTGCCCGTATTTCTCATTTATGAAACAGTAAGTTATGGCAACAATACCATCCTATATTTTCATACAATTTATCTGGATAAAACAGGTAGATCTGAAATAAATGATTAAGAGTTTAGTATAGTAGTCAGTAGTAGTTTAGTAAGAATTGACATAATTTGTAATTTCTATTCAAAATTTGTATTAGGTAGTTTTTATACCCTGTTTCTACAGAGATACAGGCACACTTTACCATTACAATTGTTCACTTGCTGATGTCTCATAAATAAAAAAGACAGTTTGCATGTGCAACAAATATTTATAGTGGCCACACAAGGATATGGAAACCGTTAGCATTATGAAATAAATGTTATGTTGGTGTTGCAAACATGTTATGCCCTGCAGAAGATATGAAAACACTTTAATATTAACAATTTAAGAAAAATTAACAATACTGTTACTATTATGTATCTTTTATGTATATTTTGAATAACGTTGAAACATTTTGTTATTCAAACAAGTTTAAGCTTTTTGAGCTATACATAATTTATTAACCAACTAACATAAAAACTCAACCTTGTATTCAAATCTTTTATTTATCTAATCCTAATTAATTCAAATTCTTCAGTCACTAACAAATCAATAAAAGTATGTTTGTACATATCTCTAATAAGCTTACAACAAAGAATTTATGCTCAAAATAAATATGTCAGCTTAATAGGGATTACAAATTTTACTTATTTTTTTTAACACAAATAGTGGACAATGAATGATGCAAATCATTTTATGATAGGTATCCAAATTTTTACAATAAATACTTTTCCATCATCACAGTACCTACATTATCCTCAATTAAGTATCAAAATGCATTGTCATCCTTGAAGATAAAAGAAGGCCTTGTTACCAGTAAAAAGGTATCTGGTTCTCACCACTAGCCATGTAAAACACTTCAGTTTTATGGTGCTATGTATTTAATAAAATAATTAATATGATAACTTACAAAATGTAGAGGTATAATTAAAGGGTCCTTCCGCGGTTTTACTATATACAGGAACATAATTCTCAACCTGTAAATAATTCATAACAATTTGATTAGAATAACGAATATTATACATACAAAAATTAAATTACATGTAATTGAAATAAAATTACCATTATTTTATACCTTAATTTTCTTTTCCAGGAATAACACGTTTGTCGTTAAGTTTGTGTAATAACCGTGTTTCTGTATGTTCACAGTCTTTCTTATCTGTTCATGTAGAAATATTTTCTTGATATTGTACATTTTTTGTTAAAAATTGTTTCGCATTCCTTTGATTAAATGTGGTGGATCAAATAAGTGCTGTGACAATGCCAAACACAGGACACCACCGAACACTATGACTATATAGTTTGTGACAGAACACTATTTACTCCTACAGAGATGCCTAAACAAACAAAAACCAAAAACAATATGGCTGCGACTGCTTGTTGTTGTTGTTTTTATTATTCGATCGAAAGAGCAGGCAAAGGAACTATGCCATACAGCCTAGTCTTTTTATTTTGAGTATATAGATTTCACTCCTTCACAATATGTTGATGCGTAACATTGTGCAGCCCTTGGGAGATTTTGACGGCAACTTGAGCCGGCAGACAGTTGACAGTTGGCGATGGTATTTAAAGGCGCCTATGCAAACACACAGCTTATTTTGAGAATCCATCACCATCAGATCACTTGTTTCACCGTTTCCACTAATAGTTCACATGCGTTGACAGTTAATACATAAAATCGCACCACTTTTACATATCAAATTCTACTTCAAACTATTATTTAAACTATAATACAGAAGCAGCAAACCGCCGCCGGTCAAGTCCCCGCCAAACTCTCCTGCGACAGCTTGCAAATGAGCTTAGAAGCATGGAGTATAGAGTAGTCTACTCTATTCTCCATGCTTAGAAGGTATGCCGAGAGGCGAGGGGGGTGTTAGCTGCCGTATACAGTGAGGCAACTTTGTATGAAAGCTGAAAAATCTGCACACAATCATGATTTTGTCAATATGCGTATTGGGCTTGTTAAAATAGAGCGGGATAAAACATCGCTGTCTCTTTCTTTAATGTTGTTTTAGATCGCCATTTTAAAAATTAGATAAACAAGTTCATATTATATGGAATGAAAATAAAAATGTTAATTCGGTGTTAAACTTTTATTGGTTTGCTCTTTAAAGTATAATTACATACATATTACTCTGAGCATCGCACAATTAGTTTACCTATTAATTGATTTAAATTAAATTGTTAAATTTTTGCAGAATTTTATCAAAAGAAGCCATGAATTAATAGAAGAAGAGAAAAATGACATTTGTTTGTAAATTAATACATATTGAAAATATTTTCTGAAATTTATTAAAATTTATTTCATAGGTTTAGTTTTTAATATTTATTATTCATTTTTGCTTAAATTGAATTAGATGGACTTCATTTTCATATGTACGCAAATATACCTTAAACACTAGGAACAAACATAAGCTTGTAATGCCACTTACAAGACTCCACAGAATTAGTAATTCACTTATGGGGCAATGTATACGCTTTTTCAACAGAATCCCAGAACATGTTCAAAGTTTGTCAATAAACAAGTTTAAAAGTTTTATTAAAGAAAAACTGTACAAAAAGGGTTATTATAATATCAAGGAATACATGAATGAAAATAACCCCTGGGAATAACGTAATCGCCACCATGCTGGTTCTATGAAAAATCATTTAAAAATTGTATAAACGCAATTATTGTTAAGTGAAATATTTTTGAAAAAAAAGTCCCGCTGGGTTTCTTGCTGGTTCTTCCCAGGACAGAGGTATTTTCCGAACCAGTGGTAAATAAAATAATGACTTTCAATAAGTATTATGTAATAATCCATATTGAATAAAAATCATTCTATTCTATCATATTCTATTCTATTCTATACAGTCATAATAAAGATTATTATTATTATTATTATTTGGGGCATCTATATAGTTTACTCATCTGGTTGGGCTGTATAAATATATAATTGTAAATGAAAATGATAAACATACATAAATATCAACAAAATAAAATAAATGCATAAAAAATACATAAAGAAATAAAAACCCAACCAGATGGAAGCCCTCGGCAGGGGAGACCAAACGGTCGAGGGTTAGGGGGAAAGGGAAGGAAACCGGCGGACGATGCGGGCGGTATCGAGGAGCACCGCCTTCTGCATTTGAGCTTGGAGCGGTCCGTCACGGAGCCCAAGTCGCCTCAGATGACCCGAGAGGCTGACTGGGATTAACCCGTTCGCAGAAACGACTACAGGTATAATTTCGGCCGGTAGTCCACCCCACATGTCGGTCACCTCGTGAGCCAGGTCCAGATATTTTGTTCGCTTATCTGTTTCGGCTTTCACGAGGTTCTCGTCATACGGAATGGTAATGTCGACCAAAAATATCCTTGACTGTGCCCGGTCCATCAGCACAATATCAGGCTTATTCGCAAGAATGGTCCTGTCTGTGATGATGGCCCGGTCCCAGTAGGGCCTGGCGCGGTCATTTTCGAGCACGGCTTCCGGCATATACTTATAATAAGGCAGTTTCCGATCCACGAGACCGTATTTCAGAGCGAGCTCCTGGTGTAGAATCCTGGCTACTAGGTTGTGCCTATGCAAGTACTCAGAGTTAGAAAGCGCCGAACAACCGGAGATGACATGCCTAAGTGATTCACCGGGATGGCGACAAGCTCGACAATTATTATTATTATTTTGGGGTATCTATAAAGTTTTCTCATCTGGTTGGGCAGTATAAATATATAAT